ATTCTTTCTTTGACAGGGCCAGAGCATCGCACCACCCTGCTGGCCAGCATGGTAGCAGTCTTTCTCCACAGAACCTGCATACCGAGCCAGGGAACATGATTGAAACAAGTGTCGTTACGATATCTCCACAGAGTCCATAAAACAGCAGAATGAAGTATACAATCTGCTGGGTTGTTATTGTTTTTGAACCACCAATCTAGCATGTCATCCAGGGAAAGCCCAGCATGCTTATTGGATATGTCAAAGACCACTCTCCAGAGCTCTATCGAAACGACACAACCAAAAAATAAATGATCTACAGATTCAGATTCACCACAGAAAAGACAGGTGGGATCATCTACATGCTGTTTTTTCTGTAGGTTATCTCTAGTCAATAATTTGTTTTCAACCAAAAGCCAGAGAAAAATCTGAATCCTCAGGGGACATTAAAATTCCAGACAACGGGAAGGTTGCCCGGCTGCACACCCTTGAAATTGATGAAATTATAGAAGGATTTCACAGTGTAGATGCCCTTGGGATCATAATTCCAGCAAATAGTATCCTCCCTGTCATCCAACACCGCATTTTTAATCATACTAAAAAGTTCATCCCAATCAGCCAGCATATCTTGAGTAAAAGCATCTCCTAAAGGTAATTTTGAGATTAGTACCATCCCACACTTCACTAATGGAAATGTTATGGTCATTGGCAATAGTATATAAGCCCCAATACTGGGTAGCAAGAGTGGAAGAACCAATCCACCGGTCTTCCCAGAACCTGGCACTTTTACCATTACCAATGTTCTAGGAATATCCAATCTTGGCAGCTTTAGCAGCCCATAGTATCCCCTTCCAAAAAGGGGAAGCACTATTATCAGGGCATGCAAAAATATTGGGACTATGAGTTCTATATTTGGCATCAATAATTTGCTTCCAAATCTTACCCTCATCCAGGAAATATCTCTTGATCCAGGAAGCTAACAGGCAAAGATTCATGTCAGCTATATTAGGTATGCCAAGACCACCATGCTATTTTTTGAGGGTCACACTCCCCCAAGCAGCAAGGTGATATTTATGATGCCCTTCATAGTCATCCCAGAAACAATGGGCTAGTTAAGAATTAATCAACTTTATAGCCCATTTGAGGAATTTAATAATCCCCATAAGGTAACCAGGAATACTAGCTAAACAAGATTTAACAAGAGTGAGCCTCTTGCCAGAAGAGAGCAATCTACCTCTCCATCCAGCCCCCTTTTTGATGATTTTATCGACAGTAGGCTGCAACTCACTCTTCTTGAGTTATCTATGATGGAGAGGAGCTCCTAAGTATTTAATGGGGAACTCCCCTAATTTGCAACCAAGAATTTGAGCAAAAATATTAGCATCATCACCATTAATATTAATGGGAACCAGGTCACACTTGTGAAAATTAATCCTCATCCCAGATAACTGCTCAAAACAGGAGAGTAGCCATTTGAGATTTCTAGCATGATCAGCATACTGCATACTAATGATGCCAGCTGGATTAGCACTAGGAAACAGATCTTCCAGTATATTATTTCTGGAGGCTTTAACAAGAATTCTAGTAAAGACATCTGCTACTAGGTTGAAGAGCAAAGGGGAATATGGGTCCCCTTGTCTGACCCCTTTACCAGCAATAAAGAAATCACTGTTGTTGTTGTTGTTTATTCTAACTCCAACAAACCCTTTAAGTAATAGAGATTCTACTTTCTTCATCCATTTACTACTGAAACCCCTCTTATGCATCATGTCCAACAGAAATTCTTTGTTGATCATGTCATAAGCTTTCTCATAGTCCAATTTAAACACAAAACCAGACTGTTTGCTGAAGTGCTCAGAGTGTATAACCTCATGGGCAGTGATTATACTCTCAGCAATATATCTGCCTTTTATGAAGGCTGTCTGGTTAAGGAAATTAAATCATTGCAGATGGGGTCAAACTTATTAGTGGCACATTTAGCAAAAATTTTAAAACTGCAATTGATCATTGCAAGAGGTCTAAATTTCTCCATTCTAATGGCGTCAGCCTCTTTAGGGACTAAAGTTAATAAGGAGAAGTTCAATCTAAATAAATCCAGATCACCCTTCTCCCAATCATCAAATAAAGCAAACAGGTCACCTTTAATAAGGTCCCAAAATTGCTGGTAGAATAAAAAAGGAAAGCCATCTGGCCCAGGAGCTCCTTCAGCATAAGAGCCAAAGACAGCCTCCTTGATTTCCTGCTCAGTGAAGGGGGCATCTAAGATACTATTATGAGCATCAGTGACCCTATCACCATCTTCCCAAAAGTCATCTTTCAGGTTGATATTTATTTTATCTTGGAAGCCAAAGAGATTTTTGTAATAGCACCTTCATCTCCTAATAATACCTTCAGGATCAGAGACAGTACCTTCATCTCCTTTCAGCACCATGATCTGTTTTTTCCTCCTCTTCTGGTTAGCTATAGCTTTGAAGTAGCCAGCATTCAGGTCTCCTTCCAATATGTCTCTCTCTGTATCTCTGCCTGGCCTTGATTTCTTCCTTTTTCCATATATCCTCCAGGTCACCTGCAATTTTTTTGATTCTTCTGTTAGTGTTAGGAGATGGAGGGTTAGATTCAGAAATAATATCCAGGCAGTTATACTCAGTCACCAGAGCTTGCTTATGTCTGTTTTGCTCTGCCTCATAGTTGGCCATCCACCCTTTGATGGCTTTTCTGGAATTCCTAATCTTAAACTGCCAAATGTCTATAGCCTTTTTGAAAGGCATTTGGCAGTCCAAGCTTTATGAACAACCTCTCTAAACCCTTCAACCTCAAGGCACCGTTTTTCAAATTTGATTTTTTTTCCTTGGGGATGGAAAAAGCACAGGTATTAACCACCAAAGGAGTGTGATCACTCCCTAGCCTAGGGAGAGCTTTAAGGTGGACACCTGGGAAAAGAGAGGCCCAATCAGTGGACATGAAGACTCTATCTATAGTAGCCATCACTAAGTTGTCCTGATTGTTGCCCCAAGTGTACTTCCTCCCATTAATTTTAAGCTCTAACAAGCCAAATTTATTAATCCAATCATTAAAGAGATCATCCCAGTGTTGATTAATAGCACCAGTGCTCTTATCACTAGCCTCTCTAATAAGATTGAAATTACCACCAACTAAGGTGGGGCCAGTCCAACTGTCAGCAGGTTGTGAAGTTCATTAATGAAATCCAATTTAAATTGATCGTAGGCAGAGCCGTAAACAGAAACTAATCTCCATATGGAGTGGTCTTGTTTATTCTTGAGCAAGCAAGAAATACTATAAGTGTTATTTGCATTAACCCCAACCAAGATCCCTCCCGCAGTGTTATTTGCAGGGAGCCATTTCCAATGGAAATGAGAGCTGGGATTAAAGACTTCAAGTTGCAAAACAGTAAAGTCTTCTTTCTTGGTCTCAGAAATACAAATAAAATCAGGACTATTGGCTCTAATGAGCTCTTTCAATTTGCCATTTTTAATAGGGCCATTCAGACCCCTAATATTCCAAAAAATGCCTATCATTTAATAGCAAAATCAATTTTCCTTCTACTTCTACAGGATTTAGAATTTCTAACCTCAATCCATGGTGAGTCTGGATCAGGATCCACATTCATATGTGTCACCTCTCCAGACTCTGTATTAGCCCTAGGATTGGGACCCGAATTATTAAATTCCTCACCAGTAATATCTATACTAGGAGGCAAAAAGACCACAGGATTTTCAGAATTAAATTTATCAAGTCTATCTAGCACAACTTGCTTGATAATGGATATATTATCTCTGATACTATAACTACTAGGCCCCAGGTTAATACCTGAGCAATCTGCAGTTTTAATAAGGAGAGAATCATCCAGGCAAGCAAAAGAGTTTGGAGTACCTTTTCTTACAATAGGCACTTCCAGATTTTTAATCTGTTTCAGTTCCTGAGCTTTTTGAAGAGCAGGTTTTCCATCTCTCTTGTTCTTGGTGTTAACTCTGGAGGCCACCAGAGGCCCCCATTTCTGTTTAGTGCCAAGGCTCTTCTGAGAAATAGGTTTGCTCAAATCAGCAGCAGCATCAAATAGTTCCAGGAGAGGGCCACCTATGTTTTCATTGGGCTTCTTCACTATCTCAAGAAAGCTTTTGGTCATAGGGGCACCCAGAATCTTGGAGAAAACAGAATTTTCCATATTGGATCTAGGAGCAGGAGTGGAGCACTTCTGGATAGACTTGGCACCAGTTGAACCAGCAGCTGGAGGCTTGTCCTTGATGTTGGTGTTACTATTTCCAGTGTCCATATCCTCTCCCAGCACATCATCTTCACTTGTATCAAACTCATCTTCGGTATGCTTTTTCTGAGAGGGGTTGTTGTCAT